CAGGAATGAGCCACTCTGGCACCGCTGGAGCTGACCCAGCCTCCCGGCGTTTGAACGCCTCGCTGGAACTACCCAAAGGGTCGTGCAGAGCAAAAAGCCTACGTGCCGGCCACGCTGCCTGCCTTCTCCTTGGGCTTTCTTCTGCATCCTTTCAAAACCCTGTTGCTTCTCAGTATAAAGCGATGCTTCGTCTGCCAGTGCTGGGAGAGGGGGGTGGTCAGGAGCATGCAGTGTCCCAGGATCTGCTTTTCCACAGTCACCCCATGGCACGAGAACTGGTGTTGCCTTGGAGATACTTTGCGGTCAAAGGGATATCACCCCTGGAAGGTTTGGCTCTCCAGTCCCAAGGGACTCCAAAGCTGTGGGCTCCTGGGGAGATGCACTATGGAACACAGCCTTGCAGGGAGCTCTGGTTCCCCAGATCCAGCTTTTCCTTTCTGAATCAGTAGTGGTTCCTTCCTAACGTAACACTTGCCTCCAATATTGCTTTTTCCCAAAGGTCTCCCTCCAACGCCTGTCCAGCTCCTGTACCCAGTCTCCAGGTTCAGCAACGTCAAATCCCTCCAGCACCTTTGCCGCTTTCGGATCAGGCAGTTGGTCCGGATAGATCACATCCCTGAGCTCCCACTGCCCAAGTAAGTCTCGAGGACTGGGCCTGGGGATGGTTTCCTCCCTGACCCTCGCCGCAGCAGGCGGTCGGAAGGCGTCTGTATCCGCAGCGAGGGCTCTGGGAGGGCATAGTTGGCTCCATCAGCCTTGGGGCACCCAGATAAATGTCCTGCGGTGTGTAGGGATGTGTGCGGGGGTGGTGACCAGCTCAGGTGTCATCTGCCACAGCCTGGAGGTGATCATGCTGGGTGGGCTGGGGGAGAGGCTCTGCTCATCCCGTGCGGAGGTCGATGCGGTTGTGGCTCAGGGTTGTTACAGCTTCTGCCCGTTCCATGCCCAGGCCCCTCATCTCCTACATCCGCAAGTTCTACTACTACGACCCGCAGGAGGAGGTGTACCTGTCGCTGAAGGAAGCTCAGCTCATCTCCAAACAGAAGCAGGAGACCGAACCGTCCACGTAGCGAGGCCGCCTCGCCCGCCTTGCTGCTGGCCCTGACGGTACGTGCCCGTGCCCATCCCGCGGGCTCCAGCGCCAATCGCTCTGTTCCCTCTGATGGCAGAGAAAACACAAAACCCTCCCAGGGAACTCAGGGCTGTTCACTCCGGGGTCTTTTCCCATTGCCCAGCTTTTCCTGGGAAGGGGAACGAGGCTTCTGCTGCTTTCTTGTGCCCGCACAAGCCTGTGCCCGCCCTCGTGCCAGACCAGCTGCCGTGCGGGGCAGATCCTGCCGCGTGGAACGGGCTGTTTGATCCCTCTCCCCTCTCTCTTCCCCACCAGGAATTTGGTTGTTGCCATCCTGTAGCCCGAGCGGGGCTGTGGTGGGAAGGAGGCACGCGACGGCGCAGCCTGCTTCTGCGGCGCCGCTTCTGCTCTCAAGCTCTTTTGTACAGAGAAGAGGGTTCAGGATTCCTGGGAAGCACCGCAGAACGGGAACAAGAGCCCCAGCTCCTGGAGGAGGGAGAGGGCTCTCGGAGGCAGCTGAGCCCGGCTCGCGGACTCCTTGCAGAACAAAGAATGTCATGGCACTATTTACAACTTTTGGAAAGTTTTATTTTTGATGTCGTCTTTTTTTTTTTTTAATTTTATTTTATTTTCAGCATGAGAAATACTGTCTTATGATCAGCTGAATTTTATTATCCTCCCTTGGAAACTTCAAGGTGGGGAGAGATAGAGAGAGAGAAGGGAACACTGGGAAGATCATCTGCTCCAGGCATTATGGCAAGACTGTTCTTTGGCCCTTGCCAAGAGGGGATGCAGCCAGGGAGCTGCTCGGAGACAGACTGAGCTACGTGGAATAATGTCTGGGCAGCACGGAGCTCTGAACAGGCAGCTGCACCGCTCCCCTGCTTTCTGGGATTTGGGAGAAAAGGACCAAATCTGGCCTCAGACAGCTGAGCTTGACGTGGTCCTACATGCCGTTGAGTTGGGCCGAAGGGTGGAAGAGCACGTGAGCTGTTGGGATGTCGTGGAGCCAAAGGGAATGGTTGCTGCTCCGGAGGCATCGTTCCCTTAGCAAGCACTGGAAGATTTGGCTGCAGCCCTGCGATAAGCGGAAGGGAGGTGGCAAAGCTGTCGCTGTAACCCTTGCAGCAGTCCAGGGACCAAAGGTACCTGCTGCAGTGATGCCAGCCTTGCAGAACCGTGGGCCGTGCGCTCTTAGCCTGTCTCTGGCTGTCTCCAGAAGCTGTGGATGAAGTGGCTTTCTGTGGAGCTGCGAAGGATCTCGATCCGGAGTTGCCGGGGCATTAAGGGGCATCGCTGGGGTGACTCGGAGCAAGAAGCAGATGATTGAGGGTTCTGCTGGAACAGCTCTGTGAGCTTGCTCACTGCTTCCTCCTCTCCCTGGGATGTCCGTGGAACCGCAGGAGATCAGAAACAGTAAAGCCAAGGGAGGTGGTGGCACTCGCTGCGTTTCTGGGCTTGGCACTGGCTGAAATACCACCCCTCGCCCCTCCAAACCCTGCTCTGCTCTTTCATCCGCTGCAGCTACTGCCAAGAGTTTGCATTTCATGGTGAAGTTTTAAAGTTTGCCCGAAGTGATGCCGAGAAGGCTGGAGAAGCATCTTTCCTCCTGCATTTAAATGAGCCGAGTGCTCCTGTGCTCCCGACCCGAGCAAAGGAAACGCTCCATCCTGCAACGCTGTGCTCTGGAAACGCGATGCCGTGTGCGGCCCCGGGCTCCGGATCGGAGGTCGATGCCCTGTGCAGTCACTCGGGAGCCACTGGGACTCGGGTCTGGCCCTGCGGAATGGTCTGGGTCCTTGAATTGGAGACAGTCGCATGGATCTTAAAGCAACCTGGAAAAATTCTGATGCTCTGCCAGGCGTTGCTGTGAAGGGTGCCAACAAATCCTGCCCTCCCGTTCTTCACCGTCGCCTCTGGCGTCGCTTTTGGTCTTGGAGGAAAAACTGTTTTTTTTAAAAGGATTTGGCTTCCAGATGAAACTAATAACTAAGCTTCAAAATCTGTAGAAATACCTCATCGGACACTACTCGCTACTGACTTTGTGTCGCGCCGTCGGGGCAGCGGTTATCAGGACGGGGGAGCTGCCCCGAGACGTGCTGAAGAGCATATCCCGACCCATGGTGAAACTGGATCCTGGGAATAAACACCACTCTTTGGAGAAAGGAACCCGCAGCGCGTTGGGCGAAAATCAGCTGCGTTCGTGCAGGTGAAACTGGAATATCCGCACACCCGACCCCGCTGCGTCTCGGCCATCCGTGTGCTGAAGATTTGATTCTTCCGACTTATCCGTGTGCTGGAAAAGAAAAACCTCCTGAGAGCCACGCCTGGTCGGACACCTGAAGTGTCCAACTCGGTGCCAGCGAAGAACAGTGTGCCCGGTGTACCCCGGAGACAAGGATGCGATGGGCCGGGGCGGTGCGCGCGGGTGGGTGAAACGCGGCAGCGGTGAGTCTCGCCGGGGGAAGCTGGTCCTCTCCCTGGTGCCATGGTCGGGACAGCGTTCCCACTCGCTTTGGGCTGCCCGCCCCGAATTCGGGCTGGCACGAGGGCTGGGGTCTGCCTGCAGCAGCTGAAATGATGGAGGAAACGGGCTCCGGGGTGTTGGACAGGGGACGGTGGGACAAGTCACCCCCTGCCCCCATCCATCTGCACCCCCAAGAGTGGTGGGGTCAGCTCTGCTGTAAAGGTGGCAGATGCTCTCCAGGCTTTCCAGGACCCTGCTCCACCTCTCCGTGCTCCAGGACGGCCCGGGGAGCTGGAGCGTGGTCAGTGCCTGCGGCCCAGTGCTGGATGAGATCCCAAGGTTGACTGTAGCTAACAGCCTTCTCTTGAGACCCATTGAGATGAAGCTGTTCCTGGAGTTCCGTCATATCTAAGGAGAGGGGAGGACTTGATCTGCTGGTTGGGTGTGGAAAAGGTCCGGAGGTTTGGTTTCAAGGCTGGATGTGAGCGGAGCGAGCGGGTGGTCTCTGCCGAAGGGGCGATGGTCTTCGTGGACGTGGGGGAGATCTCGAGGTGGCTCCATCCTGTCTTGGCAGTGAACCCCCCATCCCTGACTGGGGAGGAACCCCTCACGTTTGTGTCCTGCTGGGAAGGGTTTCGTAGATTGGTTCTGGAGGGTGCTCTCATCCTGCTGATTTGGAAAATATTTTTATCGCCTCCTTCATCCAACCTTGAATTCTGCGGAGGTTATTGCTGTCCTCCCCCCATCAGGGACCGGTGGTGGATGAACAATGCAACGGACCATAAAAACTACCAAAGCGCAGCAAGTCCCTGTGGAAAAAGCTCCTTTTTCAGCCGGAGATGGTGCTTTTTCAGCCGGATGGGTGCAGCCTTCAGCCACGTGTCGTACCTGGTGACGGTTTGCTGGAGCTCCCGCTCCTCCCTGCACCCTCTTGCAAGGTGGGGAAGGACCTGGCTCACTCCTGCAGCGTGAAATTCCGATAAGCCAGGACAGTTTTCTTGCATGGAAGTTTTCAGCTCAACGTCGACCTCCTTGAGGGCCAAAAGAAAGGGGGAAAAAAAATAGCGATTCATCCTTAGCTTGGTTTGGGTGGGAACCGAACCGCTCGTGGGAGAGGGAATCGGTGGCTTTGGAAGCACCAGGCACGCGGCGCTCGCATATCCGGCCAGTTTTGAAACCTTCCAAGTGTTTTTCCTACGGATTTGGTGGGGCCGAAGGAGCACATGGGTGCAGGGAGACGCGCAGGGCTGTGCCACGGGTGGTGGTGGGGGCTGAAGTCTCATCCAGGGGGCGTTTTGGGGAGGAAAGTGCTGGAAAGCAGGCTTGCAAAAGGAAGGATCTCCCGTGGGAGAAGGGAATGGGCTGGTTGTCCTTTGTTCTTCGTGGTTAAGATCTGCCCTTGGGATGATTTTTACCCAACCCAGGCACCCACCCGAGCCCCCTGGGCTGTTGGGGATGGTGGGATCCATCGGGGTGTTGCCCTCCCCGGCCCCTCGCTCCTCATCCAGAGTCTTCCAGGTGAGATGGGGCAGATGGGATCCCCCCACCAAAACATCCCCCTGGGATTACGGGGTGCCAGCGGCGCTGCCTCCGAACGAAAAGCACAACCGGTGCCCAGAAACGCAGCGGGCACCCCGGGGTGCTCCCCCCACCCACCCACCCAGG